CTAAAGTGGACCCCACAGTAATAACCCTTGCTGCTCCTCAGCTGCAGAAATGCATAGCTAGGATTTACCTTCTCTTTTAGTCTTACCTTAGCCTCCACACAACGCTAAGTGAATGCACTTGTCAAGATTTCATTCTCTGAAAATCCAGACAAACAATATCAGTAGCACCGGTACTTAACTCTCTTTTAAAAAAATGTATGTTCAACAAAAATTTAGGGCGGTCTGGAGATGGAAAACATCTGAGGACTTCCAAAGGACTAATTAGAGGACCTGAAACACAGCATACATTCTTTTTATGAATGACAACACAGAGGTTTATATTCAAGTTCCTGCCTTGATATCCACACAGATGTCTCAGCCTGGTACGCGGCAGAGCAAATCAGGCTGACAAACGTGTTTTATTTAGCTCACTCCAGTTTGTTGGTTTTTTAGGTTGATTTGGTTGCCAAGACATAAAAATCCGATGACTTGTCAACAGGAACCACATTCCCATGTAACCACTGGGCAGTCATTATACTCTTCAGAGACAACATGTGTTTGCCAGGGTTTCTGGAGCCAGGTCACTTCTTTCGAATACATAAGCTGTGCAACCCAGATGAATAAACTTTTTAAAAATCAAGACAATTTTGATGAATAAAAAAAAAATCAAGTAAATTTGTACTCATGTTTTAGTGTTTTAATGTTTTAATATTTCAACGTGCTTTCGTGCATACCCTCTTTGTATCCTCATTCCAACCACAACCCAGTCCAATGACTATGCCTGTTTGCTTTTGCTAATGATGAAGCAGGTTGGGGCTTTTGCATACCTGGCATCTGAGAGAAACCATGAGCATCCATCAAGGGCATTAAGTGTTAAGCGCACTCTCACATTATGAGTCAAGGCCCATAGGCTTGTGGACCAACCTCACTGCTGACCCCAAAACAGTGTCCTCATCCTGAAGATTTTGAAGTGAGGTTAAGCAGAAGTAATCACCAGTTGCATTACCTTCAAATATTTACAAGTCTCTAATTTATGTATATGTTTTACGTGTTGCTCAATTCATCTAATTGATATGAGTCTCATTTTTATGAGTTCAGGATATTTGAACTCACGGGCTTTTTATTCATATAGGTATACACATTCACATCTATGTCTACATACATATATGTACATATGCATGTGTATATATTTTTCCAGATATAACCTTATCCAGCCTTTTCAGATATCAGTACTAACAGTTTCAAGAATACTTGAGCAATAGGATGGAACAGATTCCTCCAGAATAAGCCAAAAAAGAAAATGAGTAATAATAAGACCAAGATGGTACATCTGATAGTCTCATTTCTGGAGCTTCTATAAAGAATAAACCATTCATTAATGAGTATAAACCAGATTGTCACTTTCAGTCATTCCCATCTTCAACTCGTTGTTTTACTTTTGCTCTCAGTATGTCTTATTTCCACGTGATGTCCTCTTACCCCACAGCAGCAGTCACTGGGAAGGCATGTTCTTTGGTAAAACAAGGTCAGTAATATTGCCATGTTCAACTGCACTATCATTTTCACAGGTCCATGTTGAAATGAAATCAATTATGAGAACAAATAACCCTGTTTTATCACTAATGAATGGATTTAGCATTGTTTTTCATATTCCCACCACTTAAAATGGAAGAAACAGAGCAAATGTGGTACAGAGAAAGCTCAAATCATCCATGCTAATGGTGGAAATACTTAAGTATCATCTGTATGCAGCTAATATAAACCAAAGTGGTTTATTACCACTGTTTTGTGATTTATGACTCACATTATGACTTTATTTTGAAATGGTTGCATGAAATATTAATGTGTGGTTAAAGAACACACAAAAGAAGCAGGGATCATGTTTTATCAGATGTAAGGCCACTCAGTGATTTACCCCTCATGATACACTGAACTCAAGTCTTAGACTCCTATTTGCTCTTGTATTATAATCAGCCCCTCATATTCAAACTTCCCAAGGTGAGGCAGCCCTACTTTTGTGCCTAGATTACAGGTTGTGTGCTGTTAATTTTTAAAGGGATGGAGTAGTTTATAACAAATGTGAATAATTTATAGCAAATCTTCTCAGCATTGATTAGTGTTCTTTGGAAATAGAATGTCTTCTTGATATGCATCATTCCTTTAATGCCTTATGAAAAGTCAGAAGACCTGTTACTGTACTGCTTAATGGACAGATCAACTTTAATTTTCACTCATATATAATATGAAAGATAAGTACCTATGTTTTTCCCTGTTTGGAATTTGTCAGGCATTAACACTAAACATTAGCTCAAAGTAATCTAAAGAGAAGTTAACAGTGGGATGGAATTACTTTCCTTTGGAGTTTATACATTTGATCAGGTTTCTCTAGACATTGGAGTGGATGGTTTCTTTAGGGCTTCACTGGCCTGTATTTTAGGCCATTCCACACCCCGCTCTGCAAGGCTCCTCCCTGGGAATGTAAGTCAGAGCAACAACTTTACTGCTCAGGAAATTCCTTTAGGCAGGGTTCCTTATGTCATTTTAATTTGTTCAACTGTACCTGATTCATCAAAAAATGAGTAACTTTTTGAATCCTCATAAAAGTTGATAGGTATTATTTCTATTGTACTGCAGTCACCAATGATGATTTTATCCTGCTTTATATCATACATTTCTAAGTGTCAAACTGATGTTAATAAAAAAATAATACTAATAAAAATAATAATAATAACTGACACTGTACTATGTGTGTGATGTATGCTTTCCAAGAGCTTTACATATATTAACTCATTTTATTCTCTCAATAACCTGTAAAATAAATACTGTTCTAGTGCCTATATTATACAAAGAGGAAAACTGAGGCAGAATCAGTAAGTAACTTGCCCTAGTGATGTCACCAATATTGGAGTTGAAATTAGGAACTTAGAGGGTTTGACTTCGGGATCTGTGTTCTTACCAATGAACCTTAGTTCATTACACTAAGTTCTATTGTCCTTTGCTCAAAAACACTTGGCTTCAAAGCCTTTTGTAAAAAAAACAAAAAAACAGAAAAATTAAAAGCTTGAATGATTTCGGCTTTAAGAATAAAAACCTAACTTTATGAAGGACCAATGTTAAGAGTAATGCTCAAATGATGGGAAGTAAAAACATAAAGGACTGAATTTGCTCTTGAGATTCCTCAACATGCCCTTGAATATCTATAGTCATCCAAAAGGTAACATGCTCCCTCTCAAGTCCTCCAGGGGTAGTAAAATATACAGCAAAGAGCACTTGGTCAGTGAATCCAAGCTGAACCACTTCACACCTGGGCAATGCTGGGAGTATTAATGAACCTCTCTGAGCCAAGATTTCCATTTCCAAACTGAGATAACAATACCCACAGCTGTAATGATTAGAGATAATGTAAAGTGTCTGGCATACAGTAGGCACTCCATATGATTTATCACATCTGTGTTCATTGTTTTTGTTCTACTAATGGTTGTCCTTTTAGCAAGCATAGCCTCAGAACGAGTCAACACAGGAATGCAGAAAAATCAGTCCTTTAATAATGTTAACCTGTAGGATCTTTAATTACCCTTCCCCTTGCTTATGCTATTCAAACTTATATTGGAATCACTGAGTTAAACTCACACGCATGCTTGACTTCCACCAGCCATTGAGAAAACCAGGCAAGACACACTGCAAACACAGAGGGGAGTGTATGATCTTCTACATGAACACACCTCTGCTTGGGGATGGTCATTTGGGAAGACTCCTCACTCTCATCCCTGTGGTTCAAATGGTAAATACACTTCCCCTGGTATTCCATGTCTGTTAATGACCAATCCTTTCCCAGCAAGGTAAGGGCTTGAGAGATAAACAGAACAAAAAGCAAAGAGGAAAGAACATCAGAATCCTTATGCTTTGGGGGGAAAAAGACAGATGGAAATGGAGAGGGAGAAGAAGAAAGGAGAGAGAGGCAGAAAAAGTTTCTTCCTGAGAGAAAGCAAATCAACAGTAGGCATTTCTGCAGAAGTAATTGTGGTGGAAATAGAATGGAAACCAAGCTGAGGCCATTTAGTATTTTGTGCAACCAGTGATAGAATGTGGCATGAATAATGGAAAGGTCTGCCACAAACACTGAATTTCCCCAAAAATGATAAAGGGCAATTCCGAGGACACAAACCATTTCTCTCTCTCCCTCCTTTTTTTTTTTTTTGTAGTGAAATAGCATATTCCATTTTAAGGGCTGTTCAGGTTTGTAACTTGGTTGCCATAACACAAGAGCCTGAGGTCTAAAGTTCCTCCCTACTTCACCAAAAGTAGGTGAAAATATAGCCTTTTATCCATCTTCAGGCACCATTCTCCAAGGAAAAAATTTTAAAGTTGCCTCCATATCTTAAGATGTATGCATGAGATGAGAAATGGCCTGCTTAGAGCAATTATCAAAATCCTGCTTAATTTTTTTTTTTTTAGCACCCATTTCTTTTGACCCTCCTGTGTTACAGGACTGTGAAAACTTTTTTAAACTTCTGTTGCCTTCTTTGTCTCACCTTTCTTTCCCAGTTTTAATTCTCCCATAAGAGCAGCTCAGAACCCCTGGTCTACGCAGTATAGACTCCCTGCAGCTCCCGGCTCAGAGACCCAATTGCCAGACCCAACTGTCAATAAGTGCCATTAAAGTAGGTCTACATAAATAAATATTCACGTATGCTCTATAATGGAAATTTCTAAAGCCAAGAAAACTACTTCATATGGACTGCCACACCAATTAGGGAAAAGCTCCTTTTAAACCTAATCACTAATATATCATCTCAAATATTATCCCCCAGAGACATTTCACAGTTTCTGGTTCTAATGCTATTGACCAGTTGGCCAGTAGACCATTAAGTATTAAATCCACACATTAACAGGCAGAAGTTGGCAAAGGTATACAATATACCTGGGCTTACCACGGGAAGGTTTAGACTATCACTTTTTCACTATTAAAAACAAACAAACAAACAAAAAGATTTTGTAGAAAGGAAAAGTTCCCAGGGTACCTGGAACATCATGCATTTCTGACTCAGCAAGGAGTTAGCAGTTCCAGATTCAACAAAAATTTTCTCACCTGCATAGGAAGCTGGAAAGGAGAAAAGGAATTTACATTATAACGCAGGTCATTCTACTCCCCTGATAAGAAAACAAGACCTAGAACAAAAACAGTTTCTAAGCCTTATTTGACGATAAAGAAATGTCATCCTCACAAGTTTCCTTTTTAGAGGTAACTGGGTCCTGTCTTCCCACCAAAATTTCCTCTAAAAGAAAATTACCAAAGACTCTTCATTCTGTAAATAAAAAGTAAGTCCCATTCAACAAATATTTTTGGAAGGCCTACCACGTACTAAGCACCATGTCAAACCTCAGGGATCCAGCCACGAACGTCAGATGGTCCTTGATCTCATGGAGTTTACAAACTAGTAGGGGAGGGAGAATCATTTTAAAAATCATTTGCCATACATTTAAGTTTTATGCACTCTTATACATACATGGGATACATTTCATATTTTTTAAATGAAGAAGATAATGAAGCCTCAAATAAATAGATTTTACAGCAAGAATTGCAAAAATGAGAACTTACGAGAGCAGGAGTTCTGGAGCCTGTAGGAGGACGTGATCATTCGGCCACACAAATATGCTGAGGGAGCTGGAATGCACCTGCTTCTCCCAGCTGAGCCATGGGCATTTGATAAGCAGTCTTTGCTAAACAACAGCTGTCATATTTGTCCAACCTAAGGAGTGATTTTCATGGTGGAAATCTTAGTTCCGAAAGAGGAATAGCAGCAAACTCATGGGTGAAATGGTTTTGAAGAGGCAGAGTTTTCAGAGATGATGCTCTCTCATAACTAATCAGATGCTTTCCCCAAAATATAACTCAGTGCCTCAATCTACCTCCTGCTGAACGACCATCCCCACCATCAATGCTTGAGTATATGAAAATATGTGGAGCTCACTTTCAAAAATTATGCCAGTATTGAGGTAATAAAAAAAGAACACGTAAAACACCAGAAAAGCAGAAGAAACCTAAATGAACAAAGTGCCTAGCACTGAAGTTCTCAAAAGCATGGGAATCTGATCAAAAAAACCAATCACTCAAACCAGCATGAGCAGGCAGCTCATTAGGATTCCAAGAAGACAGAAAGACAAAATCACGATCCCTGGCCTCTGACAATGCTACTAGAGGGACAAAAGGTAAGCAGCTCTGTTTGTGGTTTTAAAAATGCCATTTCTTGGGCAAGAGTCATCACAGAAAGGCACTGCTTATGTCAGTAAATTGTAAATTTCAGGCCCAGAGCCCAAGATCTGCTTAGAACTCAGAAAACTTTCACCATTGACTAGTGCTAAGTTGAGGGGCTGCCATGGAAGACCCTCTGTGATATGTGCTGTTTCTTGCTTCTTCTGCCCCTAGCTATTCCATGTCTACGTAAATTCTTTGTAACTTTGTAACTCCTTTGTCACTACTATTCAATTCACTTTCAAATGAGTGAAGTGTACCTAGGCACCAAGATTGCCACTTTACCAAGTATCATGGAAAGGGTTCACAACCAGCCACTTTAAAGTAATTGGCGTCATAATGTGCAGAAAAATTACTTTTCTAATGGTTGCCTGGAAGATTTATATCCCTAAAATGTAATTAAAAAGTAGATTTAGAAATATGCTCAGCAACCAAAAAGATTAAATATTAATGTGGAGTGTAATTAATAAATTATACATTTCTTGATTACTAATGGCTTATTGACTGTAAAAGCCTAACATTATGGAATATTAGGGCAAACAAAGGCTTTTGGGGAATATTGTTCAGCTTCAAGAATGGAGCTGCTGCTCTTGAATTTTCAGAAGAAAACCTGATTTCGCATATAAAATAAAAATTTACCTAATTGTTTCCATTATCATTTTTCATTCATCCTGTATGTTACAAAGTCTGCCATTCTTTATAAGATGGAATCTTTGAAGCTTCCTGAACCATTTTTCATTACATTAAGGCAATTTCTACTGCTTGTCCCATAGGGCTCCCCATTAAAGTGAAGCTTCAAATTTACAAGTATTTCTGACCTCTTTATGAAACTGCAATATGGAATGCCATTGCAAATGACAGCAGTGAAGATAAGCACCTGAAATGAGCTAGGTGTGTGATGGGCAATATTTGCAGGGCACCTCAAACTGCAGAGTAGTATAAAACCATGAACAGAAATAATGGGCTTTCCAGTGGCTTCAACAGGTACTTCTATTCCATAGTCCAATCATCCCATGCTACTTTAAAATTTTTCCAAGACATTCATCAGAATCTTAAAATGCAAGAGTTGCAGTGTCTTGGAGGTTATCTGGTCTACCAGCTTCATTTTTGCATTTCAATTTGGAATTCTTTTATCCTTGGCAGTAATATGACATATATATGATTTGAAGGTCGTCGATGGCAGAATAGCAAAAAAACTTTGATCACCCCACGATATCAGAATAAAGTTTTTTTCTCTTTGTTTCATGTAATAACTGAGGAACTAAAATGGCCAGGTTTGTTAAGTATCTTAACTTACAAATCTTTTCATGTTTAAGCACTTTTCTAAGAAATTTCATTGAAGTACACACAGAAGCAAGGTATGTCCAAACCACTAGAACCAAGCCTCAGACACCTCTTCAGGATTCCCACCCAACTCAACTCCCATGACTCCTTCATCTAAACAGTTAATTCCTTAAGACAAAAAAAATATCTTCCAATAGAGAAAACTTAGCAGAGAAAGATTTGACCAAGGGTGTAGATTTCAGTCTCATTTTATTCTTCTGAAATTAGACATCTTACTCCTCAGAAACAAGAACAACTCTCAAGGCAGCAATGAAAGAAGGACCTTGGTAGGAACAGTATCTGAGCAACCTTGCTTAATAAGTTTTGCTCAGGAAATTTCCCAGAGAGTATCTGGTGAGTGCTGAGGAAAAAGCTAATCTGATTCCTTAACTGGAGTGCTTCCTGGGTCAGAGTTCAGTGAGGAGGAGGCCTCCCCTCGCATGCTCCCAGATGTCCAGGAGCTCTCATCTCATGGTTAGTGTTTCTACTTCAGGTATGCCATCTCTAGCTACCCACGGCCTTCATAGCACACATCATAATTATATTTTTTGTCTATTTGTCTAATCATCTATTATACCTATTTATTTATGTTATATACATTTTTGCCTATCAATATATTTATTTTACCTATTTATCTGTTTCATGCTTTTTTAATGTAGATTCTAAGCTTTCTGAGGGCAAATACTTCCTTTACTCCTTTAACACCAGAGTCTAGCACTATACCATAAGACTGAATGTTCCATAAATATAAGCTGAAAAATAAGATTACCCATAAGGATAGAAAGTTCCAGAAAAACCTCCAAACTGGCTCTTACCCCTCTTGGCCTTGGCATTATAAGCACTGTTCTTCCATTTCAATGCTGGAGTCTCCTCCATTATCTCTACGCAGCCAAAACGTGAGGAAGAAGGAGGAGGTCCTCCATCATGAGAAGGGTGCCCACCACCCACGTGGAAAATTCTGTTAGGATGAGAATGGTGATAAAATGCTCCAGAACAGTACTTCATCTTTAAAGCCAAGAGGTTCAGTTGCAAAGCATCTCACGTGAGTCAAATCAAAGTGACTTCTAGAGAGCATGGTGTCTCTCCAGTGACAATGAGGAGAAGACAGTCAACTACAGCTCTGAACAAGAAGCAAAATCAAAGGGGAAAAATAAATAGGCAAGATTTTCCAAGTTCTCTTAGAAATTCAGACATTTAACAGACACATGATTCTGTTAACTTCACATGAATTTAGTTCATAAATTTTAGTTTATAGAATTCTTCTTGCCTGCTTATGAAAAATGTCCTCACAAATGTCACTGTAGGATTCTCTGGTGGAATTTTTTTAGATTCCAGCATAAGCCCAAAAATGTTGGCTGCATTTGTTGACCAAAAAAAAAACTAACATTTTGAGAACATGACATTACTTCCCTTGTTGAATGGAGTTACATCTGTACTCCATGCCCTCTAAACTCTCATTCTGTTCCATCTCTGCTCACTGTTAGTTCAATGGCTGATGATTACAGAAACACTCTCATGGACAAATTATATGGACAAATTAACATGGACTCAGAGACTCCAAAATACAACCTCACTAGCCTTGCTTCAATATAAATTAAATCACTGGAAGTTATTTTTTAAATTTTACAAATAATAATATCCTCAGCAAACCTTCATGATGCTCTATTTCTTCAAGCTAACAGTGTTGTCACTGACAACACTACCTATAAAACAAAAAATTTTCTTAATTGCTTAACAAATAATCAGTGGCTTAGAAATTTTGTGAAATTTCTAATTTTCTAGATGAGGAAATCAAGTCCTCATGGGGTTAAGTGACTTGCTATAAGAGTCACCTGTTAAAATGAATGCCTTACCTAAATGGTACTCCTGTTGAAGCCATGACTGTATTTTATAAAACTGTACTCATCATGGCAGAAGTGGACCTGATCAAGATATTGAAGATCATTTTTGCCTAATATTAACAGCTGTGTTTAACTCATGGGGCAAGATAACTCATTTCTTTTGTGTTCGGTGTATTTTTGCATCCTCCTTCCAAGATAGCAGTGAAATGCTGGGTTCAATCTTGCTTCAGAAAAAGTTCTTTAAAATGAGTTATAAAGAAAGGAAAATATATAGAAAAACATGTTATAATTTTAAATAAAAAAAGACAAAGACTTGTATTGACATTGAGTAAATTACACATACATCGAAGGTCTGAGGGAAAACATGAAGAGATTTACTCTGTCAGAGTGTAGATTTTTTGAATTTCTACCAGTATATTACTTATTAAAAAGAAAATTAAAATTTAAAATTTAATGTAATCAAGTACATACTCTAATTCAACAAATGGAGGTTGACTATTCTGGATAGAGATTCCAAATATTTCAGCAAGTGGTATCTGAAAATACAAAGTCTTTCCTAGGACAAAATTGTGTAGTCTTTTATAAAATATGCTGTGGTTATCTGATTTGACTTTCCTTTGAAGTTTCTGTTGGTAATATGAACATTTTGGATCTTCATTATGCACATCACTGATCCCTTATGACAATTTCAAGATCCAGAGATTTCTGGAAACTGAAG